ATTTCAAAGCAAAAATCTAAAAAAAAGGCTTTCTTTAACAGCACATTTTTAAAACCCAGGAAAGTTATTTTTCTCTTCTTTGTTTGTGGAAGATCAAGTTTTAGGGCCTACATTTTAGATACTCTCCAAAAGACTCTCACAAAGCTTAATAGAGTTTTTGTGACTTATTTAAAAATATCAGTGATAACTTACTGGCATATTTAAATGTTTCCTTTCTATTTCTATTAGTGAAGGAGAGCCAGAAAGGAAACCTACCAGGGATGCAAGTAAGCTCTAGATATCTTATTTTAGTGTCCAAAGCTGAGTGAACTGTAAACACTTTCAATAAAGAAAGCACATTATGCTTTTTAAAAACAGTTCTTTACATTTTAATAATATAAGTCTGATCCTGCAATCAGATGTTTGTGATCATTCAAACCCATATTGCTCCATGGAGTCCCAGTAAAGTTTTCTTTTTTTTTTTTTTTTTTTTTAAGATTTACATTATCCCTTGAAGGATGTATGGCAAATATATAGAGTAAAGAATCTGCAGTTTGGTCTTCAGGAAGCAGTTTCATGTGGTCAGATTCTTGCTCTTATGTGGGGCTCCAAAGTCAATAGGTCTTCGTCAGGGGGGGTTAGCTGTGTGGACTTGATTGCTAGGTCAGGGCCTTGTAAAAAATTAAATAAATAAATAAACGTAGACACAAAAACCACTTAACAACCAAGCAATATCTGAAAACCTTGACAATCTCCAATTTTGATCAGCTTGTAAATTCAAACGTTGGAACGCTAGAAGACTCTAGCCTGCCAAATACAAATCTCACAGTTCTAATTTTACAATTACAATTCATGTACAACTAGATTGTACTCAGATGCTAAAGGGTTAATATATTCTTTGGGGGCAAGAAGCACATCTGCTGTGAAAAAACATGTGCACTAAGTTTTAACTCAAATTTGAAAACTGCCAAGTTGTAATAAACACCTGAAAACCTGGGTTTATAATGGAAACTGCAAGTGACCCCTTACTGCAAGTAGAGCCTGGACAATAACAATTTACAGAACAGCTGAAAGTCATTCATAACGAACTGAAGAAACAGACTCTAAAACATGACTTTTAACTGGTTTTGTGCCACTTCAAGACTTGAATACAGTGTGTCTGACAAAACTGCTCATAGGAAAAATTTTTAAATGTGACCAATTTTCTAAATGGTCTTTTCACACACATTTGCAATTTTTCTTCTTATGGATTTCAGGATGGTGATGGCTTGTTCCTACTACGACTATTTTCACAAACTGCCATTTCAATCTCAACAAACAAAGCAATCAATGTAATGATACAACAGCCACACCTGCAGACTCTGGCAAGTTTGCAGACTGGGATCAAGTTTCGCTTTTACAATCCTTTGTAGTTCTAGGCACTCTAAGCAGGATTCACAGCACCCTTAAGGAAAAACAAAACAAAAGGGCACCCGTACTTACAAAATGGCATGGTTAAGCCGGTGGCTTAGGTTCATACCTCTCAATTGCAAAGGCCTATATATGAGATATTTTAGATCTTTATCACACACTGAGAGGGACACAAATTATTCATGCAGGAAACGTAAAATGCTTTGAGGGTCATTCTTTCAGTGGAAATGAGTCAGGATAACATTTTCAAAAGCACTTAAGTGATTTAAGACTTGGTTCTATTATAAAAAAAAAAACTTGGGAAATCAGGAGTCTCAGGCTGTAGATGTCAATGAGATTGTTCACGATATATAAAGTCAATGAGACATTGGCCTATGGGATTTGGGTGCCATTTCTAGTGATTTCTGATTTCCTGAGTTTGAGTTCACCTTACAGAGGACTTCTTTCCAACATGCTTTGCTTTTAGCTGGCCCTTTCAATCTGTAAAAGACAACTAGCTGTTTTCCTTAAACCATAGGTTGCAATCTATCACCTGCACATCAGATTTGACATAGGGCGCATCCAGACAAGTGGGAACATGCGTTTCTGTGGGGACGAGCAGCACTGGTACACCTTGTGCTGCTGCAACATGTCTCCAGGGAACGCGTGTGCCAAATGAGCTCTGGCGCGTGGCAAGTTACCCTGGGTGGGATAAGGGTGGCTGGCGCCAGCAAGCGTGCTAGCCCAGTAGTTCTACCTGGGATCCTGAGGGCCTTGGGGAGCTGCAGCTGTGGTATTCCTGCAGGAGAAAGCCTGGCCAGCAGCCGGAGTGTCTCTGTGGCCAGCCAGGCTCCGTTTTGGGCAGTGCACGCTGCCACCACATGCGCTGCCCCATTTTGGTTTGTTTTTTTTAACTGGTTTTCTTCACCCTAGGGTCTTCCAGGGTCAAACAAACCCCCTGTGCTGCAAAGGAGCAGTGAGAATGGATCTGGCCTTCAAATATCTGATTTGGGCCACGTTTTATTAACAGTGAGCCAATCCCTTCCTGCCTCTCTAGCCCTCCTTGTTCTCTGCAGCAGGCTGTTCTCTCTTCTGCACTGCAGCCTCTGCCCAATGCAGCTAGTAGAGAGAAACAGTAGCCTAGGGCACTGGCCAGTTTGCAAGCTGTGGCCCATATTAGTAAAAGTTGCTGGCCCCTGCCTTAAGTGATAATTCTGCTTTTGATGCTGGCAGTCTCCTTCTTAACAAATATTTAACTTATTACATTACATTTTCAGGTCTCTTTCTTACTTCTAGGATGGCATCATATAAATAATGGGCCCCTGGCAGACGTTAATTTCATGGTGCAATGGGATCTGAAGAATTTTAGCTCAGATCCCTAAAATTGTGTCCTGCCATACCATACATTTAAGATCTGACATGGGATGACACACAGTTGTTGGGGTCTGCAATAAAATTTTGCAGATCCCATTGCACATCTCCTGCACCATGTAGCTGGCTGCACATGTATGCTGGGGTACGGGGAGCTGGGAACTGGGGATCTTCCTGATCCCCAGCTGCCCACACTTTGTATCTTTAAATGGCATACCTGTGTCTGTAGAAAGCTGGCGAACAAGGAACTCCATGCCACATGTTCATTTTAAAGTGCAATGCAAACCAGCCACAAAAATGTTCCACATTAATAACAATAAAAAAGGAACATATTTATGACTGGTTTGCCATTTTTATTGCATGATAAATTGGTTGAACATGTGGCATGTTGCCATTTATCATGCAATTAACACAGTTGTGGAATAAATGTAACATCTGCCAAAGGCCATAGTTTATACGATGAAGGAGAACATCCATTCTATATTTAAAACAACAAATAAATCAGGGTGGTGACAGATGTGCAGCTCCCTGCTGTAACTCATGGCACTTCACAGAAAATGCCATGAGTTACAGTGTTCCCTTCGACCCAACAGATGTTCGCTTGAGGGATCAAGCTCTAGTTTGGAGCCACTGTGTGTCTGCAGCCACACTTTCCTAGCTCCCACCCTCATCCCAGCGCCAGTGCTATCTTCAGAATAGGATGGGGAGAAGGGAGTGGAGGGAGCTTGGTCTGGGCCCCAGCCTCAGGGGGTCTCCAATCCATCTGCACCACCCTCCAGCTCAGGCTGGGCAAAACCTGGACAGAACCCCCATCCCTCCTTTCTCCCCCTCCCATTCTGAAGACAGCACTGGGGGTGGGGCTGGGCTATATCAGCTCTGTTCCTGCCATGCTCTGACAGACATTAATGAAGGTGCTCTGCTTTGGAACACCTTCATCTGAACCCTCAATGTATTACCCCCATGTAATGAGGGTTCAGATTGTCACGCAATTGGTCACTTCTAAAGCACTCTGCAGCTGCGCAATTCCATGAGGGCACAGCTGTAGAGAGCTTTCAAGGGACCAATCACATAACAAATGTAACTTCGGTCTGTACCTTCAATGTTGGCTTACAGGTTTTAGGAGAGGAGGCAAAACTATGGGAAAAAATTAGGAAGGCTTCATTGACTAGATTAACAAAAGGGCCTTTTTAGTGCCTTGACATCTATTGGAATCCTCATCCATACATATGCCTGGTCTTCATACCCTGCACGGGGAAAATAAGA